ACAGGTGGGGTAAGATACACTTTAAGGACACAAGAAACACCTAGATGAGACGCAAGGGGAATCAGGTGATCATGGGCGGGGCTGGAGCAGGGCAGAGAACACTGAAACACATGCAGACTAGTGTTGCATTCCATTTACATCGTATTCCCAGAACTGGTAAATGGTGGTGACGTCATTTCCCGTCAAACCATATGAAACTGCACTCCAGTTAGCCTACAGGTGATTGTATTGCTGCCGCTAACCTAACTACAACACTGCTACAATATAAACAATGGCAAAAGGAGAGCTCTACGTCACGCAAATAAACATTGATTTTAATAAGTACAGTATTGCACAGAAAACACTGCTTGTGAGAGTGATTAAACATGCACAAAATTAGGAAAGATAACAGTAAAAGTTACATAGTTAACTTTCTAAAGCTGCGAGTAGCCGCCATCTTGAAATTGAAACTGGGGACAGTTTCATTTCTTCCACTATACCAGTAGAATATAACCACTGGAGGGGTGTTCCAATTTAAATCTACCAATGGGAACAGGGAAATTACTACTTCCCAGGACTACTGGAATGCAGGATATGACACAGCTGTACTTGTCTGTGTCTGTGCTGCTGCTGTCCATGCACGGCTGTCCTGAGACAGACACACCTGTGCTCCTTTTAGAAATGTCCACTGCACTTGATGCTCCACCACATCCTCAAATACGTTTACAAAGGTCCAGACGTGATGTTGGTGGGAAGTGGAACATCCTTGGGTGCATCAGTGGAGATAATTGCAAGATTGTAAAATGTGTCAGTGAGTTTTTTTTCTTTTACTCACAAAACTTTATTGTAAACAAAATAACTTAGTGACAACAGTGCATTACAACAACACAAGGGAGCCAGGGGGATGAAAGAAATATAGGTTATAAAAATAAGTAGGCTATTAAAACTAAAAAGAAATGTCAAAATAAAATCAGGAACTCCAACATGAAAACAAGTCATTAAAAATTTTTTGCTTTTTGAAGAAATGAACTGTTTATTAAATGTGTGAACTCTATCAGATGACAAAATTAGTTTTTTTCTCTTTAAAGGAACAGTGTGTAGGATTTTATCAAGTCTTTTAGCCCAAATTGAGATAATCACTAATGACAATAATTAAAAACATGTCTAATCATTGCAAAGACCTTGTTTTATTATTTTTACCTTATAAAAAGCTGTTTATATCTCCATGGTCGCGGGTCGCCACACAGGCAGCCGCCATCTTG